AGGGCATGTCGAGAGCCTTGCACTGCAGCCCCATGCTGGGACCAGAAGCCCAAGTGACAGGGTGCCAGGGGATAGCAACTGTTAAAGCCATTAAGTTCAGCACTTACCGAGAGCTCTCCCAAGGCTTACCTGTATGCTGCGACATGTGACTCCTTCAAATCATACCTCAGCACCCAGGAGAGCTACAAAGACCCCATCTGCCAGTGGATGAGCTTCCTGCTCTTCTCCAGGAGGTTCCTTGCTTGGGGTGGAGGTGGGGAGGGGATGAGGGGTGGGTAGACTGCACTGGCAGGAAGTTTTCATTATCCCTCTGGTCCCTGGGGAAGAATATGGAAGGACCAGAGGGCCAGGAGACAGACTGCAATGAATGAAGGTTTCTGTGGCTTCTGCCGCAGCTGGCTCTTATGGTGACCTGAGAGAGTTCCCCTTCTGAACTCCCTTGGCCCCTTTCAACCTTCCTGTGGGCCAAGGGATCTGGCAGACAGTGAGCCTTGGCCCCGGATGAGTGGCTGGGGCGGGAAAGGTCCCATTTCCCTAGTCGTGACTTGGAAGGGGACAGCTTCCTGTTGGCAGAATATGTGGCCACCTGTTTAGGAGATGGGAGAAACAGCTGCTGGGGACACCCCTGACCGGCGTCTGGCCAGGAAGTCTAGCTTGCCATGGGCCAACAGGCCAAAGAGGGGTGATGCCATGTACAAGAAAGGGCAGAGGGTGGGGGGGGGGCTTGAGGGCAGTGCCCAGACAGTGCCCAAGCAACAGGTCCCCACGGGACTTCTAATTAAAAATGAGCTTGAGAAAAAACTTAAGGAGTTAGGAATGGGCTCTCTCCTTATCAAAGCTGCTTCCAAGTCACTGGAGGGTGGCTGCAATAAGCAGTGACTCTGGAGCCCTAAGTCCAGGGTTCAAATCTGACTTCTGTCATTGCCTGTTATGTGCCCTTGTCAGAGCCATATAGCTCTCTGGGTCTTCCTTCCTCACCTCTAAAGTGGGCATAACAATAAATACCTAATTCATGGGCCATGGGGAAGATCACACAAGTTAAACGTAGGTAAAGTAGAATCTCATCTGGCACATGGGACCTTTTCCACTGCCACCACCATCATCCTAGCCACTCTCTTTGGCAGGGACTGTCACAGCAGCCTCACCCAGGCTCCCCAATATCAGCCCCCATGACCTGTCCCTTCCATAGCAGCCTGAACAATGGGAAACCAGATACACTCTAGGCCCACGAGGACTTATGTTACAAACCAAAACCCACACACTTCACCTCCATCCATTAGCCCTGCTTTGTGTCCTCCCGTTGAAGATATCATGTCCTGTTCAACCACAACAGCTGCTAAGATGGTCTTGAACTATCCCAAGCTCATTTGGACCTCAGGGCCTTTGTCCTACCTGTTTTCTTTTTCTTTGGTACCAGGAATTGAACTCACAACCTCACACTTGCCAGGCAGGTACTGTGCCACTGTGCTATATCCCTGCCACATTTTCTTTGTTTTCACTCCCTTCTAGGCCTGGCCAGAGAGTGTCTTTCTCACTAGCTGGTCTTCCCTTTCCCCAGCGTTTGTTGACTCCCCAGGCTGGGTCAGGTGCCCCCATGGATTTCTACAGTCCCTGTCCTCTTCTCTCTGGGTTGTCTGGAGACAGGGGATCTGTGGCCTGACAGGGGCTGGGCTGGTCACCACTAGGACTAACATGCATAGGCAGAGTGTAATAGGGCTATGTTCAACCCCTCCTGTTTTCTCCTCCATTCTCCTTCCCAAGGAGGTTCCAGTCAGTCCAGGACCTTTCCAAATGTCAGTCCTCAGTCCATAAAACAGAGTTGAGTCAAAGCTGTGGCTACTGTCCTTCATGCCTGGAGGGTAAATGCCAAAGCCCTCACCTGCTGCCTCTTCATAAGACATGGGACATGATGGGTGTTAAGCCCCCACTAAGACAGTCACATGAACCCTAGCTGTTCCCATCTAGACTACTGGTGTGGGGTTGGGTCCCCGCAGCTTGCCACCTCATAGCTGAATAAATCACTTTAGCTACTAGGGTCACGTACTGCCCAAAGCAGGTGAAGGAATAAAGGGAACCTTAAGCACCATTGAGAAGTACACGTGAACAACCACTTTGGAGAGCAGCTTTGCAATACTCAGGATAGCTGTGAAGTCCAGCATGGCTAATACAAGGCCACTGCCCAAGACTGACTCTGGCTGCAGTATACAAGGAAGCACACTCTAGAATGTTCATCATGGCACTATTATAGCCCCAACAGGAAACTACCCAAATGACAGCCAAAAGGTAATGGATAATTCCTAAGTGACACAATCTTTAAAAAAAAAAAAAAAGTTAACAGGGCAAAATGACCTGTTCCAGTCCTAAACATATCCACGAGGAATAACACAGCCAAACTTTAATGGGAGCAAAAGAAGCAAGCTACAGAGAGATGTATTTACAGTGACAGCGTTTCCACGCACTGTGACACAGCAGCTGTTGCCCTGGCTGGCTGTGAGAAACTCCCTACAGGTCTTCAGACCAAGGAAGGGTGTCCAACTCCTAATCTGAGGTGGACCTAGGCAGAAGACTTTGCTGCTCTCCAGGTAACTGCAGTGTGCAGCCAGTAAGGAGAACTGTTGCTCTTTTGTTTGTGAATTCAAGGGAAATAAAAGCTGTAGTGATGCTGACTGCCAAATCCAGGTTGCCATTAGAGAAAGGAGGGAAGGCAGGAGAGAGGGAAGAAGGGAGAAGCCCTGGGGCCTTTCTTTAACCACATTACGGTGGTTTCTGTCCCAAGCCTAACACTAGATATCTCAGTGTCTTGTGGTACTGAAAGTTCTACTTTTTTGTTAACCTAGAATATATCATAAGGAAAACTGGTGAATAAGACAGTACTTGACCAAGGTTCCAAGCTGTTAAGTGACAAAGCAAGGACCTGAATGTGAGTTTCCAGTGCCAAAGCCTTATTCCTCCATGTGCGTGCCAAACTGGCATCATGAGACTCAGAGCCTGGGCAGCCTCACAGGGCTCCCTGGCAGTGTGCTGGCCCCGGGTCCCTGCTGAGCCAAGCAGAGGTGGGGCAGCTCTGCAGAACCCAGGAGGCAAGAGGAGAGAGGCTCTTCCTGCCAGGGTGGCAGGTGCAATGGCAGCAAGACTAATGCTTCCACAACACCTACCGTATGCCAAGCCCCAGATGCTATACTATGTCCTCGCAGCAATTCTACAGGGCAGCCTCTAGCACTGTGCCCATTCTGCAGAAAAGGAAACTGAGGCACACATAAGCAGCTCTATCCCTCCCCTTCTCCCACTGCCCTCCCCCCCAGGCTAAGCTTCTTGGGCTCTCACCCTGACTACACAGGTGACATGGTGCCTCCAAGTCCCACCAGTCCCACTGTCCATCACCTCTAGGGACTCTGCAAACACAGCTCCTTCTGCCCAGCTGCCCCTTCCCGTCCCTCCCACTCATCCTTGAGAGCTTCCTGCAGGGGCTTTCCCAGGCACATCAGCCTCAGCCTGGGCCCAAGTGCACCCTGCACTCCCAGCCCTACCACTACTTCTTGAGATGGTGCTGCGCAGCTGGAGGTCTGTGGGTCTTGTTGCGCGGCTGCAGTCCCAGCACCTAGCACAGTGCCCAATAGTCACACACTGTCAACACAGTGTTCTCTGCAGGGCAGAGAGAATAGGAAGGTCAAACCCCAGAAAAAGCTTGAGTCTTTGCACCGAAGGAGTTATGAGCCACTGGAGAACCAAGTGGGAGCTGAGTTTTTCACTAACAAGGCAAGTCTGCATGGGGTCAGTGTCTCCCGCTAGAAGCCCATCAGACTTCCAGACACTGGGCCATGCACCGAAATCCACTCCCACTGGCCCACGGGAACCACCCCACCCAGGTCCCACCCTTCCATGGAGGCCAAACACTCTGTTCCTGCCCAGGGAGCGGCTGGGGCTGGCCCTGCTTCCAGGAACAGACCTACTTCGAAGCAGGCTATGTGGCAGCTAGGGGCAGGAGCTCTGGAATCGTCCAGACTCAGTTTTAAATGTATCTCTGTCCTCAGCAGGGGGTCTCTGAGCCTTGCTTTGTCTGTCTGGGAAGTGGGTTTATGTCTAGCACTCCACGAGATTGGGGCGCAGTGAAACAAGACCTGGCACAGAGGGCACTGAGCCATGTGAACCCTCATTAAACATTAACCAACAATAAAGATTCTTTGTGAAGCAGGAAGTCGAAGCAGGACTCTGAGCCAGAACTCGAGTGGGAATCCCTGCCCCACAACTTGCTCATTAGCCGAACTTGGGCAAATCACTTAACTTCTTAATAATAGGTTAAGACCCCACAAGTTTGGAGGGAGGACTAATGATTATACATGTAAAGCGGTGACGCCTTGAGAAGGTCTAGCACAAGGTCAGTGCTTTCTGAGTGTTTGCTATTTCATCATTACTTGTGGAAAGGGGCTGCCTTCTCCCACCGCCAGGAAGCACACCATTTTATGCGCCCTTGCCCCTCCGCCCTGCACTATGACCTCTTTGGGTTTAGCTGTGGACCCTCCCGAACCTCGGGAAGTCAGATTTTGACCTCAGTATTCTCTTGCCACGCCCCACCTTTGACCCCTTCAAAGATGTCCCCCCCAACCTAAAACTCATTCATTGTTCCCTCTAGTCACCGCCTTTAAAGTTCCAATCCACCGCCCACGCGGTTGTTACCTCTGACCCTTCCAGGCGCACCTCCCCTCAAACTAGTAACTTTTGAGTCCCTTCTACTTTGAGACCGGTTCCGATCCCTTCAAAACGTGTCCCCGTTTCAAATTTCAAACTTTGAGTTCCCCTTCGCCACGCCTCCTTCGCTAGCTTGACCTCGGCTATCCCCTACAACTCCTTCTCCTCAGGTGGACCCCCCCCACCCCGCCCAGGCGACCCTTCCCTCGGTGAGTAAACTTTGACCCCAGCGGCCCCGCCCCCTTCCGCGTGCACACTCTCGCACCGCCAGCGCTCAGACTACCCAAAACCCCTGGCCAGACCACCTAACCTACCGGCTCGGCGCCGCAGTACCTCACAACCTCGCTATTCGGTCCAGAATTCTGCGCCCTCGCGCCGCCCTCAGCTCTCCTGCGCCGCTGCCACCGCGGCTAGTGCCGCCGCCATGTTGAATCCCCAACGAACATCCGGGGCTTTCCCCCCCTCACCGCCCACCAGTCCCCATAGCAACGGCGCCGACCGGGCTTTGGGCAGGGCTTGCTCAGGGGCGGAGCTGTGCTCCAGGAAACTCCCACTTCAACCTCTAATTGGTGTAGATTATCCAATCATAGACCTCCTGCATAAAACGCCATGCGGTGATTGGAAAATTTGGAAAAGGTGCGCGGAAGCTGACTCCGGGTCCGCTCTGATTTTTAAAGGGAAAACAACTGCTTTCCTTCGACACGTACTCCTCCTACCTTCTCCCGAAAGGAGCTAAAGGACGGAAAACAGCAGTGGGTTGTAATGGCTCAAACAATTCTTAAACACTTCCAGGCACGTGGCTAAGTGCTTTACTCGCATTAGCTGGATACTCAACATAATTCTGTTGAATTACTAATACTTGTTTTGGAGATAAACAGGCTCAAGCCGGGAAACTAGCTAGTTCACGAGCATAAGAAGAAGCTGTTTGAAATCATGATTGGTCTGACTGAGCCTGGGAGCCTGACGCTAAATTAGCCTTAATCTTTTTAGTAGGTTTGTAGCCCCTGGAGCATAAGACTAATCTCGATCGACGAATTATTAATTTTAATTTTATGAGTTTTATTATATTAAACAATGAGTCCTTAACAGGAAAAAAAAATCACTAATATAAACCACTGTGCTTTTCATATGTATTGAGTTTATAAAAAAATCAAAATTTTCAACACTGGTTTTTTGGTGTACACAGTCTAAAAAAGAACAGAAATAGATTGACATATGAACTACAAGGAAAATACCAATAGTATTGACCTCGGTATTCTCTTGCCACGCCCCACCTTTGACCCCTTCAAAGATGTCCCCCCCCAACCTAAAACTCATTCATTGTTCCCTCTAGTCACCGCCTTTAAAGTTCCAATCCACCGCCCACGCGGTTGTTACCTCCTAAAAAAAAAAAAAAATCTTTAATTTTCACACCTAAGGCAGTCTGCACACATGATAACAGCATGCTCCATACACACGCATCACACTACATACATGACTTTTGCTTTCCTGGGATTTTTTTTTGCGGTACCGGGGATTGAACTTTCCTGGGATTTTTGTAGGTCATACTTGACATCTCAGTGGTCTTACTGTTTTATCAGGAGATTCTTATTATACATTGTGTAGCTAAAAGGTACATACAATATCAAAAAATAAATTATTAAATTCTTAATATGTGTTATGCATTTAGAATAGACATCAACGTTTTCACATCAGCTGTTTACTTGCTTACCAAACCTAAAAGATAACTTGAAAAATAAAAAACTATGTGAATTATAGTGTAAACACAAGCAAAAGACTACCACAAAAACCAGCTTTGTTTCAACTGTCACACGTAAGGCGGTTTTCACACATGACAACTTCATGTTCCATACGCAAGTATCGCTCACATTGATAGTATATGTTTTGTTTTCCTGTTCTTTCTTGTGGAGCACAGTTGACGTCTTTTTGGTTTTCCTGTTGTCATAGTAGGTCTTTGTGGTGCTGCACCTACCTGTTCACCTATCAGCTCACCAGTGTGCTCCACAATTTTTTTGCTTAGTACCCTGGGCAGAAGCATTTTATTTTTCCTCTGTTGTTCATGATTTCTTGGGAGCTGTAATCCCCATCCTGTAAGAAAAGTTTTTCATGATATTTTGCACTTGTTGTTCTCTTTGTAAATTATCCAACTATTTATGCCCTACCTTTTTAAGATAAAGTAAAACACAACCATTAGCGAATGCTTTGTGTTTCAAGTGATACCATCGAGGCTGCATAGCTCATCTACAGCATCTACTCCGTGTTCAGTTTTGTTGTTGAAAGTTCCCATCGCAGATTTCCATTTTGTCAAGGTTTCCCTATTAATATTTCCAACACGGTTAAATGTTGACATCCGCCATAGCAATTTGCTTTTCTCTGCTATATACAAGGCCAATGTAATATCTTTTTGAAATCCAAAGATTGAACTATACAATTATGTTTTGAAATTTCAAATGGAATTATTTTGTTTCATGGAATTTCAGCTTTGTTCCTATGGTACATTTCCTGTACCGCTCAACTTGTTCTCTGCTAGCAAATGTAACATCAATTAGAAAACAATAAACCGATTGTTGAATAGAACATTCTGGTTAGTTTGGAGGATGGGAGCAACAGGTCTGTTCACAACATCATTTTATTTATTCCTGTACGAATAAGCACCTGATGACTGAGTTCCAAAAAAAATTTCTAAACTGAAAGAATAGTAAGTCTTCACATCTATGAGGGCATACATTTTTATACCATAGTTTGACCATCATTTTTCCTTAAGTCTTTCACATCCCAGTGATCACCATGAGAAATCAATGCTAAGTACAGCCCATGAATGAGTGCTTTCAGTTCAGTTAGTGAGGTATCATGATAAATGTGATTTTTAATATGGCTATCTGTGCATACAGGACATTTTACATGCATTTCAGCCCGTGTGTATTTCACAGCATCTTGTAGCGTTTTGTCTGTTACAATTTCCAACATGGAATGGCAGGGCTGGCATTCTGTCTGGTACATTTCATCCCTACCAAGACCTTCACTGTTTTTGGCCCTAGTTCTAACATTGGATTTTTCCATTTGGTTGTGTGGCCATTTCACAACATTTCGACTAATCAAATATGTACTCATATTGCTGTTTTCTTTGTCATCTGAATCAAGAAGGTCTGCATTCCCTGTGTTTATATCAGTCGATTCTTGCTCCATTTCACTGTCACAGGAACTTGGGCTCCTGTGGCCGACGTCAGTGTCATCATGGTCATCATCACACCACTCTTCTGTTGTGAAAGCATGTATTTTATTATAATGGATCATCTTCATCATCCACATATGATTAATCTGATGATTCACTTCTGACCTCCTTCAAAACTTATAAATCGGGTTTGGCCTGTGCCATTGTACTGACTAGCCTTCTTCTACCAGAAAAATCAAAAGACAACTTCAAAAAAAAAAACAAATCCTCCAGTGTGCGGGTCTATTAGACCCTTTGTGATGCTTAGATAAACCTACACAAAACCAGTTAGCCAGAGCATAAGGGTGGAACCAAGTCCCATTTTGACACTTTTGTGTGAGTGCACACTCCTTGCCATTTGTCATGCTGAGTGGGTAGACACACATGTTGCTTCCTGTATCTCTCAGGGAAAAGCACTAGGACACACAGCTGACTACTATAATGCTAACAGCAGAAAAGTAAGGGATGAGTCCATTGGATCTGGGCTTGTGACACAAGGGTTTAAGAAATTAATTAGTCAAACAATTGAGAAATGAAAACCACACAATAAACTCAGACATCTGTGATCTTATTCTCTGGACACCAGCCTTCTTACTCTTCCTGGAAAACTTTCAGGTGGTCTCCCACTTGAAGATCTTGTGTTGGTTTTCTGTCTGGAACAGACTGTGTTCTCAGCTGTCCTCTTGGCTCCTTCCCTCTCCTCCTTCAGAGGTTAAAAATGTCACATCCCAAGCCAGATGTGGTGGTGGGAGGCTAACAACTTTTCTCTTGGTCAGTTTTTCCTTGTCCTTGCTAACTGTAGTTACTGTTTGTTCGTTGTCCCCTGTCCTGGCGTGGAGCTCTGAAACATCATAGATGTTTGTCTCTGTTCACTGGTGCATTCCGGGTGCCCCGGATTTGTTGGCCAGGGAGTGCTCCTGCACATTTGCTGAGTGGAAGCTGGAGGAGTGGGAAATCCACCCCTCAGAGATGTGCCGGGATGCTGGGTGTGGCTCCCCACCCTAGCACACTCCAGCACATAGTGAGTGTCCCCTTGAGTGAATGATTGATGTTGAGGTTTTTTTTTTAATGAGGTATTTTCTCTTTATCTGCTTATTCTTTCTATCAGCAGAATCAGAAGCACACATTTCTAAAGAATGGTGTATCTTTTGACAATAAGGTTACACATATCTTTGGTATCTTTCTAGATCGTTAAATAGCCTTCAAGAACATTATTATTATTTGACTGTAGTGGGGATGGAACCAGGCTCTTGCACACACATATAGTAGCCCCGAGCTGCATCCCCAGCCTTTCTACTTTTTGACACAGGATTGTGCTAAGTTGCCTGGGTTGGCCTCAAACTTCTTATACTCCTGTCTTGGTCCTCTGAACAGCTGGGACTACAGGTGCCACTACATCCAGCTAAGAAGATTATTTTAAAGGGCTTTCTCCTGGTGAGATGGCTCAGTGGTCTAAAGCACCTACTTAGAACAAG